TTTTCTGAAATAACATTGCTTTTAGGAATTAGAACAGAAGTTTTGAGATGGACAAAATTTTTCACATTTATTAAGAATCGATAATTATTACATTTCAGTTATCAATAAATGAACTTTAACTGGCTACTGAACTGTAACATTCATGTATTTGGCAGCACAGACTCTCAAACAGAGTGTTGAGAATATCAGAAAATTTTCCATAATTCTTATGATGAACGTGGAAAACATAGCTACAAAATTCTGCATATCAACACAAAATCGCAGATGATATTAAAAAAATCACAGCCAATGTCTTTTTTTAAACTAAACTACTGCTGCAATGTTAATAAACAGAAGAGTGTATTTTTTTTTTCCCCCTTCTTTGGAGGCCATTTTCAACACATAGCAGTAAATAGCATGAACATGAAAGCTTTGTTGCTAAAAAACCTTAAAATTTAAGAAAGTTTGCCCTAATTTTTAATTTCTGTGATTGTTTGTAATAGTCCTCGACAATTCAATTTTTTCATATCAATCCTACTTGGGAATATTATTCACTTTTCAAACTGATTATTAAAAATTATACCGTCAACCGGAAAGTTCTGCTTGCTTTTGGAATAAAACAAAATACAAATTTTTCTTACTGTCAATAAACTTTATTAATATAATTGCCATTATTATTAATGACTTCTTGCCAGCATGAGGGCAATTTGTATACCCCATTTTTGAAAAATGATTAACTTCTGATGTGAAAAATTGAGCTGGTGCTTGTTTGATATCTACTTCATTTTTGAGTTTTTAGCCCTTCAAAAAATTTTGTAAGGACAAAAACAAGTGTGCTAAGTCCAGGGAATATGGTGTATGTGACAGAATTTCCCAGCTTAGTTCTGCAATTTGTTGACGAGTCCCCAAAGCAGCATGTGGCCTGGCATGATCATGATGCAGTACGATGTCCTTCCTGTTGAAAATCATTGGCCTCTTTCCTTGGATTGTCTTTAAATTGTCTACTTGTTGACAGTACTTCCCGAATTGAGCTTTTTGTTCAGTTTTAAAAGTTCATAATGTACCGCTCCTCGAATGCCCCACCACATACACAACATTCTCCTTATTCAGGGTCAAATTTGGTTTAGAGATGGGAGGGCTAGGTTTTCTGGGTTCACAATATGCCCTTTCCCTTACAATATTTCCATGGGTGATCCACTTTTCATTCCCAGTTATCATCTGGTTCAAGAAGGGCTTCATTTTGTTCAGAGCAAGCAGAGATGTGCATATGACGACTCGTTCAACCAAATTCTGCCCTAATTCATGTGACACCCATCTTGAATATTTCCACTCCAATCCTATCTTCCGAATATGGTTCAAAATGGTTTGCTAAGCTGAATTAAGCCTTTCTGCAATCTCCGATGTTATCAGAAAAGGATCTTGAACCAACATGGTCATAACAACACCATCGCCGATCAAAGATGATTGCCCAGAACATGGCTTATCAGAAAGTTTGAAATCACCCGTTTCAAATTTTTCGAACCATCTTCTGCATGCCTTAGCAGAAACTGTACCTTGACCAAACACTTTCAATAAATTTCTACATGCTTCTTTAGCATTTTTTCCTTGTTGAAATTCGTATAAAATACAGTGGCGTAAATTAACTTTATCAGTGATCTAGGGCCCACTATCGCTTCCCAATTACGACTAACGTGAATCAACTTTGTTTTAGTTAACTTGCTACTTCACTATGTATACATTAAGCGATAAAAATAGAGAGTTGAACATATAGCTAATAAACATGTGCTTATGTGTTGAAAATTGTTGTCATAAAACGGACACAACTTTTTGGTAGACCGAATATATATTTATAACATTTTCCCAAATGCTTGGAAATTGCATGAAACAATTTTCTCAATCAAGCTTGAGAAAGTTCAGAATGCAATAGATGATGACCAGATGGCACTATGATGCACCAAACTGCTAAGCCCTGTTTCCACTGCTGCATATGCGTTGTGTTTCTCCAATCAGCGAGCAAATTCACTTTGACATCTGCAATCCGGTCGATGTGTGATGACGGATGACGTATGGATGGAGTTCAACTTCTATCTGTATGTCTGCGTATGTGTTGGGGTGATGTGGTAAAAAAGGAGCAATAAGGTATAGTCACCAAAAATTAATGGCGGCAGAAGTAGCGATGAACGCTCACTTAGGGAAACAATGTTTTGCTAAAAAATACTTATTTCTGCATTAACATTATGGTGAGAAATCTGCGTGCTGAAAAAGTCAGCAATCAGCTGAATTTAGTTAAAAAGATAAAAAAATAAGATAACTGCAACTATAGTACTTGTTCGCAGATAAAATCAGTGGCAAAAATTATAAATTCAAGTCCATGAAATAGCAAACTTTGTCCTGACAATTATTTTCTGGTTCTGCATACACATTTACCTTTAATGAAAATGAATCTCTGACTATAACAAATCTGATATAGCATTAAAAGATTTATTTTTTTCTTATGAAACAGGTAAAAACTAAAACCATTAATTATAAATTAAATTTAATAGCCTTTTAAATATTCCACTGCATTAAAGAATATGTTAAATTTGTATTTCTCTATTTATAAATATATCTTTTTGGCTAACATATTTGTAAGCACATGAAATATATTTTTTGCAGCCCGTTTAACTTCAATCGGAATGTCACTTTAAAAGACAGTTTTTTTGTAAAAAATGTACTAGAAGCTGAAGAATAAACTCTGGTGAATTTTTCAGACGATAGCACTGAAATAGGAGCAAAAAATTTAGTTTTAAGAATTTATTTACCGTATGATGTACTAAGTCAAAATATGCGTGCGACTCCCGTGTGATGCTAGCTTAGTGGCAGCGCTGACGGTAACAATGTTTACCTTTTAGGGTCATGAGTTCGAATCCTATACGCTTTTTGCACCCTGTCTGCAACTTTCTTAGCTTTTTGTTATAATTTGACCTATATTCGTGTTTTACAATTTATTTATATTATTATATGCATTAAGTATATTGTTTTATTTATGCTCTTATTTATTTAGATTTTCCCCGCAAAAAAAGTTTGAAAATTATACAATACTAATTTAAAGCATACCCTGTATATAAATATGTGAATTTAACAAACATTCTCTATTCGTAAAAAGCAAATTTAAAGTTAATTAAATTTAAATAAAATTTAATGCAAACAAATAAATGATTAAATATTGCTGCGAACTAATCTACAATATCATTTAAATTCTGAGAGCATATGTAAATCAAGTGCAAGTATCAAAATCCATGAATAAATATATAATATATGCACTTGATTTACATATGCTCTCAGAATTTAAATATTGTAGATTAGTTCGCAGCAATAATTAATAATTTATTTGTTTGCATTAAATTTTATTTAAATTTAATCAACTTTAAATTTGCTTTTTACAAATAGGGAATGTTTGTTAAATTCAAATTCATTCCTTGCAGCAATGGCGCAAGAGAATTATTAAAATTTAATTCATTTTGAAACCCTGTAGATATATATATTTTCATTTCACTTTTATGTGAATATATATACATGTGCTCAAACATTGGGATGTTTACAGCTCTAAACTTTCATTACTAATTAAGATGAGGCAGTATTAACATCCTAAACATTTTTTTAACAAAAAATTACTGTAATAATTGCTTTTCAATTCAGTCCTCTCCAGCAGAAGTGCAGGAACTAATTAAATATTTCCATTTTCTTTACCTAATGTGTGTGTATATATAAAGAGAAAAAGCTTATTTTTATAACTTCTTACTATAAAAAGAGATATGAATTAAGAATTTTTAAATTAAAAATAATACTTTATGGATTATGCATAAAATATAACTGCCCGTAGTGCATTTTAAAACAGTTTTACAGTTGCTCTGTATTTTTAAAGTACCAATTATTTTTTAATTCGTTTAACTTTATTTTATTTTTTCAGCAACAGTACATTTTAGTTTTAATAATATACATATATTTAAGGCTTCTAGAAACAAAGAAATTTTTAAAATTTACTTCAGCTTCTGTGCAATTAGTGATGTTCATAATATGCATTATAACCTTACTTATCTAAAAATTGCTAGCGTACTTTACTTTCGCAATTCATAAGCAGAAATAAAAATTTCCAATAACATGGAATTTAGTAAAAAGAAAAAAAAAAAAAAAAAAAAGAAAAAAAACTTTTCTGCATTCTACGTAAGGATCCATATCAAATCCAAAAACGAACAATACTCGCTTAAGAGGGAAAAATTCAAATGCTCAGTGTCGTAACTCGCGAACCAGTTGTTTGGCGCCAAAATATTACAGCGACACCTAGTGACGGAAAATTAAAATAATCTACAGATACGCGACAATGGAAACGCTTGTACGGATACTGTAGGCGTGTCTTCAACTGACGCAACGCGTTCGTACGCAGTAGTTGAAACGAGCCTTTAATGTCTGTTTTGACAGTTCAAGATAGTTAATGTGTATCATTATGTAATGCCTCGTTGTTCCCAATGTTCCATCATGTCAATTGATTTTCATTTATTTTGATCCAAAGCAGCTCAAGAGCAACCTGTATAATGGGACGGATGCCTCTGTGGAGTACTTTCTAAGGAAAACTGGCTTGTATACAAGTTACACAAGGGGGAAAAAAAAAAAAATGCTCCTGGGATTCAAAGCCCCATCTTGACAAATAAAAGATAAATATATCTGAAATTACAACTTATAAAAGATCAAAAACTCGGTAGAAAGTGCTTTGCCTGAACTTTTCATTAAAGTCTTTGCAAAAGAAATGATTAAGTTTTCGGAGACAACTTACCCTATCATCTCAAAATCAAACATCGGTGGAAGAAAGCATGCCTTCTCATCCCTTTAGATTAGAAATGTGCCCATTATAATGGCTATCCAGATCTCAAATGGTTAAACACAAAATTATTTCCAAGCTTAACCAAGAATAAAACTTCAGTAATTAAAATAATCCCATAAAATTGGTTAACATATTTGTAAACAGGTAATGTTTAAAGAAAATATCAATATTTCAAGTATTTTATTAACAAACTTTACGTAAGAGATTAATAATAAAGTTACATGACTGAGTACACGAACAACATGACAAAAAATGCACGTGGCATGTAAACATGATATGATGCTGACTGAACTTAGCGGCTTGAATACCGAGAGCTTGAACCTAAGAAAAAAAATTAAAATAGTATTTATAAAAATTGAATACTTAAATTTGTTTATTTCAATGAGCAAATTTCTGCCTGCAGTTATGTGTCACCAGAATTCAATATTCAGAAGAACATGAAACAATTATTTTTCCTTTTTCTTAAACATGTTTAGTACTCTAAACTTAAAAAGGCAAAATCTCATTTCAGTGCATCATGGAAGTAGAATAATTTACATTTAATTATACTTTGATACCACAATCAAGAATAGATACACAATTAGCGTTAATTAGAATTATAATTTTCAACTTCTCTGTGATATGCATTATACAGTAAAACCTTGCTTAATGCTGGTCTGTTTAGTGCTGCTTCGGTTTAACATGTTTTTATTAAAATAGTAGAATTCCCTGAAAATTGCGTGCAGCATTGGGCTTCCCCGATTTATCTACATTACTTCTTCTCTGTAGTGTTACACAAATGTATTTTTATTATATCAAATATTTGTTGCTGTTATTGTAAGTATAAATTTATGTAATGATTTTTACATTGATAAATATTATAATTTTTACTATAGAGGATAATAATAAGAAACATGACAATAAAGCGACAAGAAAAATCATTTTGCTTGATACTAAAATGCAAGCGCTTAGAAGATTAGATAGTAGTGAACATTAATGTTAATTTGGTGTTGCACTGAACTTGTCAACTTCAACAAAAAGGACAATCCTCAGGAATAAAGAAAAATAGTGTCATGAGCAACTAGAATAACCTGTTCTAGAAATAATATGATAGAGGAGCTGGAAAATCGAAGTTCTATACGACTGACGACGAAATTGAATGCAATGATTTAATAGATTTAAACATAGAAATAATCTTCATAACATACAGATTACAGGAGAAGCAGCAAGAGGATATAAAAGTGGTGGCTGAATTCCCAGCGACATTTAGAACAATAATTGAATGAGAGGAAACTATCCTCCAGAATAAACTTTTAATGTCAATGAGACAGGCCCATTTTGGAAAGGAATACCAAAACATACATTCCTATCCCATGAAGGAAAACGTGCACCAGGATTTAAATCTGTGAAAGACCGCTTAACACTTTTCCTGGGTGCTAATGCCAATGAAGACTTCAAATTAAAGCCACTTCTTGTTTTATCAAACCAAAAAAACAAGAGCAATGAAAAAAATATCAAAATCAACTTTACCCGTAATTTGGGATTATAATAAAAAATCATGGTTAACTATGAAATTTTTCCAGAATTTCCTGAACATTATTTTTGCCTCTCTGTTAAATGCTAAAGAAAAAAAAAAAAAAAAAAAAAAACTTGAACCAAAAGGGCTACTTTTATTAGATAATGCTTGAAGAAACACAATGAATTTATCCAACTTAAACACCTATCACATTATGTTTCTACTACATGGGACTGGACATTGAAAGGGAGAATTCTTAGAATCCAAACATTTCCAGGAAACCCAGGTTACCATTTTCACTTACTACAAAGACTTAAACGCCAAACAGTAATTGATTATCACTCAGATTGGGATAATGTGATCCTTCAGAACTTTCATCTGACTGGACAGAGCTACAGCTGAAACATTTTCAGCGAGGTTTTAAAAAATCCCACATAGCCGGTACATCATTTCCATAATTAGGTGGAACTTCATTTACAGTGGGGCTTTTTTTTCCCTAGGAATCCTCCCATTTAAACAAGAAGTGTTACCAGGAACTCGTTTCTCAGAAAAGCCCTGTCTATCAGGGACCATCACTAGATGTGATAAGGGTTTTAATAATATGCATTCCAGTCGAAGTGATTTTCTTCTTGCCCAAAACAATTGCATTAATCTAATAGATGAATCAAGGTGTTATATCAAATTTTAAAGCTTTATTAACTGCAGCAAACAACTAGACAAATGTTTGAGAAAACAGACAAAGATGATAAACAGTCAATGGGTGAATTTTTTAGCAATAACTATAGTATCATGGATGCTATAGAAAACAAATCTTCCTTGGGATGAGGTAACGTAAAAATATTTGAAAAGAGTGTGGAAAATCATTCGGCTAGATTTAAACAAGGATAATAACACTAGAGATTCTGCTGTTGATATGAACGATAAAGTGGAATTAGTGAAACAGACAGGCTTATATGAAGTAACTGTGGAAGACTTCTAAGAAATTTTGCAAGAAACAGCAGAAAGGCCTTTCTAATGATGAGCTCAAGAAATCAGCAGATCAAGAACAAAAAAATATTAAAAATAGCTATTGTAAAGAGCACTTTCAATGGCATTTCTAAAAAACAATCTAGCTTCCATAACAGAAATTACAACTATTTATTGAAACCCAGAAAATTAGAAAAATCTTGAATGATATAAAATATAAATGGAGAGTTAAAATTTTATTTATTTCTACATATTCATTTGTTATGTTTAAATATTTTTAAGAAATAAAATTTTATTTTGGACTGTTATAAAAACATTTAAGAATTTAAATAACAAAATATTTGAAAATTTTTTTTATTTTTAACCAGTTTTCCCCTAAACACATTATTTACATGATGAGATAACCTCGTTTAATGCTATTTTGTATAAAGCTCTACTTTGATAGAATGTAAGCCATACTTGTAATAACACATAAGGATATAATAAAACAATTTGTAGCTGATGAAGTTACAACCAATACACATTTTATAGTTCAAGGATTTCTCAAATTCTAGATCATACATTGCAATGAGAAAATTGCTTTATAGTTAAGTTTAAAATGTAAAGCAAATATACTGAAAAACAGAACTTATTGTGTATTATCCTGTAAACTGGAAAAACTTCTCTTCAAAGTTCCATCATGTCTTGTTCTCTATCAATGCAATAATGATACATTATTCTTTTGAATGCGATCTGCAGACATTACATTTTTTTATCTACTTACAATATCTGATGTGCATTCAATATACTCTTCATTAGTCTTTTGATCCAGATTAATTTTTAATTATCTTTTGCCTTATTCCATCTTCTAATGTTCTAGTTATCAATCATTGCAATGTGGAGAAAAAATTTATCATGATTTTTATTTGACAACATCAGCCACTTCTGCTTAAGCTCATTACATTGGTCTTAAAAATGGAATATAGTAATAAACAGACCAAATAATAAGCAAAGTGATAAGAAATTACAAAGGATTTATTTTTAAACTTAAGCACAGATATGAATTAAGCTGAAAATTTAAATGATAAGATAAGCGACTAAGCATAAGAAAAATAGTAAATTAAGCACAATGATAACAGATTAACAAATAAAAAAACTATGTTGAATGCAGCAGAACTGCTCCTGGCCTTTTTCTATTTCTTTGATTTGTAAAGTCTCAATTCATCAATGGAATTGAATTTTTTTGGCAATTTTAGCTACATACTTGCTGCTTTTATCTATCATAAGTTCTTCATGAACTGCATCATTATGAATAAAGCAACAACTTTTTGTGATTTGACGAGTTACATTCTGGATTGTTTGCAAGCGATTTAGTAAGTACACTATCACAAAGATAACAAAGACGTGGGACAGGCATAGGCAGGCTTTACAGATTTCAGAAATGTTCAACCGGGACACCGGAATGGCCCCCCCCGGCATCACAGGTATTCAAAAAGACATCACAGGTATTCAAGGGTAGACATCCTGGGCAGGTTTTTAGAGGATCATTTATTTTTAATGTTATGAATAAATGGTTACTTAATAGGAACCTAAGCCACGGGTAATAATAAATGACACATGCATATGAATTTAAACATTTTATTTCTTACATACTAATATTTATAAGTTACTTAAGAAAGAAGAAACACTTTAAATGAGGAATTAAAAATTTGAACAATATTTACATGTACTTTTCATTGGCTAGGACTTTTCTAGAAAGTTGTTTTAGGTTTTAATCTTGTTGCAAAAATCTTCACAAGCTAATCCGATATTAATTTTACATGTCAACAAGCCTTTAACCGCAGATTCCTTCAGCAAACCCCTATCATTAGTCCATGCGCTGTTCATAAAAACATAAACCACCTCTCTCAACTGATGCTTATGTCCCAGGTAAGCAGAAGGCATACTCAACAATCTTGATCAGATTGAGGATTGCTATGTGATTCTCCTTGAAGTGATCAAACAATCTGAGCCCTTTTTTCTTCACTTGATATAATCACATCTCTGGTAGACTCTTCTTGCTTCCACTGTTCTCAATTTGACTGCAAATATCCCTCAGTAAGCACAACTTTATCAAACAGTTGATCACTGTTTATCTGCATATCGAATACACCAAGAAGACTGCTGTTAACCATTTCAGCAGAAATTTCGGCCATTTTGCCAATTAACAGCATTTGTTTTGGTCAGACTGACACAAGAAAACTGTTCAGCATTTCCAAAACTATTCTCCTAGAGGTCCAAGTATGCAATGCATCTTTCACTAAGTTTTTATTAGAACTTGCAGTCTTAAAAAAACTGGCCACTTTTGATGAGCTAGTAGCATGTCCTAAACTCTTTTTGTGTTTACTCCACTGCAAATGATCTTTTATATCGGATCGGCCACCATGAGCAACAGAAAACTCAGAATTACAATGTGAACATTTAAATCTATCTTCTTGATCTTGAATGCCAGTATATACCTTCTTCAAAAAAGGGAATTCATTCTCTAAATCCCCAGTGAATTTTCATGACTGTTTTGGCATTTTAACAGAGAACGCATAAATTTTAACTTGAAGCATAAATAAAACAGTGCTAGCTCACTAACACAAAACACACCACTGACAGGGATTGACAATGGACTGACTGATTTCTATCGAAAGTGGCTAGTACTGAGGTGGAGAGTCCAATGTTATTGCACAGGATGGGATGTAACATGCAGGGAAATCTCTTTTGGTGCCAAAACTGCACTCCTTAGCGCCCAATATTGGACTTGCCCAGAAAGCCTCTCGCCTAGTTATGATTGGCGAGACAAGATGATACGATGACAATGTTATTTATTGGTAGATCATCACCCTTCTATAGT